GGTGTGTCATAACTAAATGACATGTTGAGTCACGTGTGCCTTACCCTCCAAGGCAGAGGCTCCGTCCAACCCCTGAGACCGACTCACCGAACCCCTGGAGTTCGATCGAACTCAGGTTAAGAACCACTGGTTTAGGTCGACAAGTTTTTCTTCTTCTTCACACACACATTTGGTAGTCTACCACTGACATGTTTCCCTCCCATCCCTCATATTAATTCTGTGACGTGCCCTTGTGGACAGGTCTGATTGCTTTGGGTTGACATCAGATGCGGTAAGAATCGGTCCAGCCCTTTCCATTGTGACTTGGCCAGAACACACACACACACACACACACACACACATACACACACCCACAGTTAAACTACAACGCTAAGATGTTTTTTTTTTTTTTTTCTCCTAAGGAGGAACTTGTTTTTATCTGTCGTCAGCCTCAGGCTTTCCATTAGTCTCAGCTAATACAAGTGATATGAAAACCTCTTACTTACTGGCAATGACTGGCCTTGGATTCACTCACACACTGCAGGAAGCTGCAGCCCTGAAACAATGCTCTTCAGCGTTTATCTTTCGTGCATCCCTCGCCAGTTCCGAACTGATAAAAACGAATTTTGAAATGAATCATGAGCTGTGTATGTTTGCTTGTAGGCTCCGAAAACAAGAGTGTTGTCCGAGCCAGCACAGCCATTCAGCTCCTGGATGAGAGGAAATCACCCATAGCTGCGGGTAAGTAGAGGATGGCTGATTCTATCTCCCCCGCTCACTCTTAGATTGACAGTGGCTGCAAAATTCTCCTCTGCTGATCAGCTCTGCATTTGTCTCACTTATCTTTTTTTTTTTTTTTTTTTTTTTAAATGTGCTTGCCATTGTATGAATGAAGGCTGAAAAAAAAAGTGAAGGTTTAACATGAACAGACTCTTTCATCGAGGTGTATTCAAGCCTGAAAACATTCATAGATGTCAGGCTCATAAATGCCACAAGTGTATTTTATCAGCTGAGAGAACATCGTGTTTGCACAATTTTGCAGCAATGGAAGTTATAATGAGAAGGTAAAAAGTGGTGTAGACAAGCAGATGTAGGGTGTTCTATCCCTTCCAGTTCATCCATCACATCGCATGACAGAAAATACAGTTATGGACACACACTCAGTGCAGATGAGTGCAAACTGCCATCCAGGGGTTATTTACATCATTCTCTGCCTAATATTACCATCATTTCCCGAGAATGACACACACTCTTATATAAGTAAGTAAGATAACCTTTATTTGTCCCACACTGGGGAAATTTGCAGTCTACAGCAGCAAGGCTGGGTTTAAAAAAGTCAGTTAATCGAATCAAATCGATTTTCCTTTTCAGGGCCCGATTGCGATTCTTAAAAGCATACAGCGATCCTTTTTCTCAGAAATTCAAGTGACCTCTCGAGTTGCGCGAGATCTCGTCACCTCGTGAGAGGAGCAAAACAAAACAACATGGCTGAAGCACTGAAATAAGTGCCGACAAGCTTGAAGGCAGATGTCTGGAAGTTTTTTTTGATTTTAAAAAATACAAATACAACAATGAACTGAAACTTTGTGACACAGTCAGACGAATGTGGAAGACAGTGTATTTTTGTCACTTTATTTACACAGCCTGCCCTGTGGTTGGAATGAATTAAAATTATTATTTATTGTAACTGGATTGAAAATCAATCAAACTGAATCGTAAATCGAATCAAATTTGGCCCTTGTGAATCGAATTGAATCCATTTTGGAAATCTGAATGAATATTCAGGCCGACTCATATGTTACACACACTTTGAAAATTGCCTTCAAAAGCTGGTTTTGTTGTGTACTGTAATGTTGGCTACACCGTTTTTAACCGCATTGTAATTTGATATTTTTGGGATTTCTTGTGTTCAGACACATTATTGTTATTTGTGTGTGTGTGTGCGTGTGTGCGTGTGTGCGCGCGTGTGTGTGTGTGTGTGTGTGTGTGTGTGTGTGTGTGTGTGTGTGTGTGTGTGTGTGTGTGTGTGTGTGTAAAGAGAGGTTCTATTACCTTGATAACAGTTTCGGCTGTCGACACTTGAGCCTTTGTCGGAGCTGTCACCACTTCCTGGTGTGGCACTCGAAAACCTGTCGCGTGAACACGTGTTCTCTCAAAACCAAAAACAGCGGTTCATCCCACAGCGATGCGCCGATCGTCGTCAGTGTTTACTGAGTGTGTCCGACGTGGCAGCATTGCGAAATGGCAAAGAATTAAAAAAAAAAGTCTATTAGGAAAATACTTCTTGCCGTCCAGGAAATCCACTTTTGGACCGTACAAAGCGCAACGGCTTTTTAAGAGGGTTTCTTATGCTCATCGCCCCAAACCTTTTGGGGACAAATCCACTTGGATCTTTGTGTGCAGAAAAAAATCATATTGTATATGAATGTTGGAACATGAGACATTACATATCAAATCGGAATCAAAACACATCTATTTCACAGCCCCTAGTTACCATTAAACATCTTGTAGATTGTGAGCACTTTTTGTAGTTTTGCATGTACTCTTGTATAATACGCCTCTTCGATTATTCATGATTTTCTGTTGGGTAGAAAAATCTACGTCATTATTGAGGAACTGCAGTATGTACGGTCAGAAATGGAGGCACATAAACAGCTGCACAATACGAGTATCGTCGGGCAAGAATCACAGGACAAAGCTGTACGTTGGCAGAGAGCATCCATCGTGTCGGGAATAACCATTGGTAAGACAAGGGAGGGAACAGAGAAGGGCAGGAAAAGAGAAACATTTTCACGGTGCCTGACTGCGTTGACATGAGAGCAATGCATTGTGGGTACTATAGGCCTGGGGGGAACCATTGGAGCAGAAGGACAGAGATGGGAGAGTCTGTGTGGTGCCTCGGCTCTCTCTCTCGCTCACGCGCGCGCACGCAGATGCATCGCACTCCTGGCAGAGCGGTAAGCATGCAGCCCACCGTGTCGGTGTTTTTCTCAGGTTGTATCCTCATGTCAGATCTGTGACGCTGCAATCCAAAGCACTATTCCAGCTTTAACAAGGAGAAAGAACGATTACAAAGGCTGCTGATGTGCAGTAATGATGATCATGGCTGTCAGATTGGGGGTTGCCTGTTAGAATGATTTTATGTAAGAGAGTCAGACGGGAGGGGATATGTAGGCTGGAATGCAAATTTAGCGTAGGCCGGTTGGGGCCAGTTTTCACCGGCCTGTGTTCGAACGAGCTGTCGACTTGTGAATACGCTCCCAGACTAACTTGACAGGACAGGCTGATGACATCACACACCACGGTACCCCATGGGCCTATCGCACCCATCCCCCTCCCCCTCCCCACCACTGGACCCCCGAGACATCTATTGAGTCACAACGTTGCCGAACGCACACACGCACACACACACACACACACACACACACACACACACACACACACGTGAATGCCAACATATCTGTGAGTGTGTCACATCCTGTGCCACGTGCAAGTGGGTTTGCTGGCATAACGCATAGAGCCATGAATGTCAGGTCAGCCGTTAAGACCAACAGCATCTGTGTATGTTTACTGTACATGCTTTAGCAAGCTACAGTACAATCCAGTGCTGTTTTCTGATTATGGATATTATAGAAAACGCCACACCACCCACACACACACACACACACACACACACACACACACACACACACACACACACACACGTGAATGCCAACATATCTGTGAGTGTGTCACATCCTGTGCCACGTGCAAGTGGGTTTGCTGGCATAACGCATAGAGCCATGAATGTCAGGTCAGCCGTTAAGACCAACAGCATCTGTGTATGTTTACTGTACATGCTTTAGCAAGCTACAGTACAATCCAGTGCTGTTTTCTGATTATGGATATTATAGAAAACGCCACAGTGAAATAACCACAGTCGACGGCCAAGGGCAAAAACTCTAGATTTTCAGTTTAGTCTAGTACTGTAACACCTTTTCTAAATTGATGAAAGTTACATGGTTAGGGGTTTTTAATTGTATGACTTTTATTTTGGGTTCGAGTTGATGATGTTTCCAATGATCATCAAGAAAATGATCAAGAACCATGTTTAAATCTGTTCTTCAATTCAACCGTTATGAGATGTTTGGGTTGTCTTGATCATATTGATTCAAACAAATTGTAGCACTTTTATTTGAGCCGCTTTATGCTCACAACGGTCGTGGACGCGCTGGAGCCAATCCCAGCCAACTTGGGGTAGTAGGCGGGGTAAACCCTGAACTCATTGCCAATGCACAACTTATAGGTGTACTTCTAAAATAAACAGGAAACTGAGGAGACATCGGTGGCGTCATATTTTTTTCCCCCATAGCTGAGTATATGAGTTCGGGTAACCCTAACCCAACCTTCACAATGTTATTACTATTGCAAAGTTAAATCCTTCAGAATGATTACAAATGTAATTCATTATAAAGTATGCAAGCATTTTTGGATGGGGGTTGTGTTCTTAAATGATTACTGGTAGTCACATTTAAGCTAGTGCAAATTTTTTTCATTTTATCGGAATGCCTCGTGTCTGTCCTGGTGTGCCAAATTTCAAGGAAGATACTGCCCGAGTTATGTTTTGGACAATGCCTTTCCTTCTGTATGAACGGATCATGTCATCTTGTTCTAAAAATCTTCAAACGGAGAATGATGACACCTTATATTGATGACATTTTCTTCATCTGAGAGTTCATGGCAGGGATTGATTTTCCTGTCTTGGCTTCTATTAAGAATGTATCAGTTGCTGCCCCATTGCTGTGCAGTCAAAGTTTCAAATGTTTGTTTTTTTCCGGGTTTTCTCCATTTGATAATGTCCTCCTGCTCACTGGTCAAAACAATTACTGTTGTCGGTTCAAATGTTTCCATTTATTTTGTATACTGAAGGAGATCAGCATGACTGACAAACAACACCTTGACTGACGTTTCAGTAAAAGTTTGCATGTGTTTATGATTTTGTGCAGCATTACAATAATGGTCACTAACACTGGGGAACGCAGTTTTTTTTTTGTTGTTGTTGAGTTAGGTCTGACAGCTGTTTTGAACAAATTTTTGGGCACGGAATCCAAAACTGAACGCCGTTTTTCTTAATCACTTCAAGATTTTCACCGATGGGATTCCTGTTTTCTTCCAAAAAAAAGGACGAAATATGTATGAGTGTAAATAAAGAAAACATAGTTGCAAGCTTTGAAAAGTAAATTAACAGCGTGAAATGAAATAGACCTTGCAATGGTATGCTCATGGTTACAAAGTTAAGAGAAAAGCCCGCATTAATTCTCTTAATTCCCGCTATGCTAGCTTTCTGTTTGCGGATATTGATAGCGCTGACCTAATGGGAGCTGCACACACCTCTCCCAAATGGCTGTAGATTGTAAACAGTTTACTTCAGTTTATGGTAAACTATGGAGAACAAAAAAAAGAGGTGTGCTAGGGAAAAAAAAAACAATTCCAATTTTGGAATGAGCATTCCAATTTTTGTTTTTATCAGCATAAAAATCTAACTCAACAGGATTTTATTTTTTTCAAATGGTTCCCCAATGTGTACCCGTAAAGTAGTTATTGCTTTAAAGTTCCCATCATCCCTTCAAGGGTGGTCAGACAAATATCGTTCTTAAACATATTTTTTCTGCCAAACTACATCACATTATCAGGCACAAACAATGAAATTCTCTACAAGTACACTATGTGCTTTCAGTACATATACACACACACTCAAGCATTAATGGTAACGCAATCACTCAGTTGTTCTCATCACAAACAAACGTAAACATGACCAGCTGCCTACTACAAATTTAGAAATCAATCTGATATGAGACAACAAAACAGGAAACAACAGCTGAAAGACACGCACGTTCTCAAATAAATTTCAAAGACCAGCTTTCTACTAAGACCTACAAGTACAGAGCATTAACAATAGGGACCTCTCTGCGGCAGATTGTATCTACTGTATCTGTGATATGTGTTTCTCACAGAAAATGGAATATACTCATTGTAATACTTTGGCCTTCCCCCTTGAATTGGCATGGAGTTCCAGTTCTTTTCAGTGCATAGTCAAATATCTGCGGAATTGAATTAGCTACCTAAGTTTCAGAAAATGTCAAGTCACACGAACGTGATTAATTTTCATACTCTTCTTCCCCTCACAGCTGATCCACACAAATATGTCGTCCCACGGTGACGAGGTTAAAGGGCTGAAGCCCAAGTTTGAAGTTTGTGTCGTCATCTTTTAGGCAACGGCATTCTCCAGTGGTTCCTTCTCATCTAGCCTGGCATGATCGGCCGCACGGGCCGCTGCCAACTCCTCGTTTTTCTTCAGCTCCCGCTGATATTTGGCCATGATGGCGGCATAGGCGCAACCATATACTGCTGCAGCCAGCATCATCAGACACACGATGCCGCACACGACGCCGGTGATGATGACTGTGGCGATAGCGTGGCGTAGGTTGACCGGCCGCTGCCGTTGCTTCGTCTCACATTCTGGGATATTCACCCCTCCGCCACCGAATCCCTCCCCCATTGCCATGGGGACGTGGAGCGCATGGCTTGAAGGATGAGCATGGTTGCCATGCATGTGGCCTCGCAGCAGCCTCTCCGATTCCAGATGATGGATGTTGGCAAACAAGTAATGGTAGCTCGTGGTCATGCAGGCATGGAAGAGCTGGTAAGGGACCTTCTGCAGATCTCTGTCTCTCATTTCTATGGGCTGGCTGCAAAGCACCTCATCCACCACTCCACCTTGGGAGCAGAGATATACATCATCAGTGATCTTATAGTCCTTTTGGCACCGCGCTATAGGGATGACCTCAGTCATAGCTCAGCTTCAAACAGTTCATGGGCTTGAGAGGCAGTCGTAATTAATCTAACCTATAATGCCTTTCCTGATTGGTTATACGGAGTGTGTTTTGATTAATGGTTGGACTTCAGGGGCCGCCCTCTCTATTCCCCCCCTGTAAGTCAGTATTTTATTTGTCTCTCTGTCAGTGTACTTTTTTTTTTTTTTAACTTTCTGCATAATCATTGGTCTTCTTTTAAGCACACATTCTTGTTTCAAGGCCCATTGTTGTCTTCGGCGACACTTGTAATTTACAGCTTTTGAAGCAGGCAGCCAACGGTATGTGGCTTTCACTGTACAAGGGATTTATTTATTTGTTATACACAGTACATCTATTGCATATGCCATACCAGGCTCGCTTTCACATGGGAACAAATGACCATAGACCAATATTGTAAAAATACTCACGTGTGTATACTGTATACAGTATATATGTGTGTGTGTGTGTGTGTGTGTGTGTGTGTGTGTGTGTGTGTGTGTGTCTCTCTCTCTCTCTCTCTCTCGCTCTCTCTCTCTCTCTCTCTCTCTCTCTCTCTATATATATATATATATATATATATATACAGTATATATACAGGTATATGTATGTATATATATCCTCTTTCATCTATCACTGCTTCATACATCAAAGAGGTTGCAGAAAAGTGGTTAAGATTGCATGACTGTCTGTGTCTTATGTGTTGTGTTGTATTATTTTGTTATTTTGACTTCAAGCTGGCGCCGCGAGAGTGGCTGCCTTTACAGCAGCTCCTATATTTTGTTCTTCTACTTCTTCCTTTCATAACTTTGCTGCTGTGAATTGGGAATTTCTCCATTGTGAGACTAATACAGGTTTTCTTATCTTATCTTATCTTATATACAGGACATAGCATGAAACTCCACCAACTCCAAAGTAGCCCCCCAAAACACTTACATTTGCTTGTGAACGAGATTTATCTACAATATTTACTGTTTTCGAGTTCTCACCAACAACTAACTAAACACAAAGACTTCAGGAAGAAAAGGAGGCCAAACAAAATATTACTGACTGGCAATGTGACAATTCTAACCTAAATATTTATGGAACAAGACCATCAATTCTTTCCTTCCTGACAAATGAAAAAAGAGAAAACACAGTTGAACATATTTGAGGCACTTCATCCCTACTTTCCTCAGCAATTTTCTTATCAGCATTCTTTCAAAGATGTTGGAAGGAGAGAGAGAGAGATGTTTTTTTCTTTCTCACCGTCATCGTAGGTCTGCGTTTTAAAGGGGTTGAGCACCTGATACTACCAATCGCAACCAATGTTCAGCCACCAGTCCACCTTCATTTCCACCAAAGTGGAATCACCTGCACAAACTTGCAGCAGACACGACCAGTACGACTTTAATCCTAACAGTCCCTGACAACAGTTCAGCAAGAGTTTCAGAAGGATTAACGGCCCTCACACTTCTCCAGTACATAGTGCAAGGTTACGCTATCCATTGCAAGTTTCTCGAAACAAGATCTGGTCTTGACAACCATGCAGCAGATGGCCTGCCACTACCATTACTGATGAAAACAAAGTGCTCCTTGGGTAGTTGTTGATGCAAAGCCAAGGAAAGTCCTGAAGTTGGTGCGGGTAAAACTTTATCACTCTCTGAAGCATCTGCTGACTCAAGCTCTCGTTCGTGTTGTTTTCCAGTGAAGCCCTCCAGATAGATTTTCTATGGCTTTGTTCAATTGCGTGCTTAAAGAGGCTTTATGCTGTGTGGTTTGTAAAGAACAGATCCTGTTTGGAGAAACTCTCCATGGATAGTGTTAATTGTGCATCACACTAGAGCAGTGTGATGGCAGTACAACTCCTCACAAAGGAAAAAAAAAAATCACATCGGTGCCAATTTTGCAAGGTGCTCCAATGTCAAATAGCAAGCCAAGGACCAATTTGCAAAAAGTGCAAAACCTAAGCTGTCAAATGCTGATGGCCTACATGACGCAGATTTCTAAATAGGAAGTGCAAGTGACACCCTGTTCTTACCCATGTAGGATGTGTTCTTTTCACCAAAACAGGAACAATAACTTTTCACAACTGCACATTGAATGACACACTGACACAAAGACACACGGACTTTCCAACACCTGTATTTTGTGTGTGTGTGTGTGTGTTTGTGTGTGTGTGTGTGTGTGTGTGTGTGTGTGTGTGTGTGTGTGTGTGTGGGGGGGGGTTGGGGGGTGGGGGGCAGACTGCAACAGTTTTGTAAGAAGTTGTGTTCATCCGGGTTCAGATCAGACAGTCCATCTCCATTTTAGATTTTTCTGTCATTCATTTATACAAATGTACTAATATATGATGTTAATTGCGAAAGGATATTGAAATAAATCTTGCAAAACATTTTGCATTCACGCACCTTTGAAGAGGTAGGTCTCCAGCCACAGTTTGAGGCCTATAAGGTGGCAGTCACACTTCCACGGGTTGCCTCGTAGTGTGAGACTGTCTAGGTGGGCCAAGGCCTCCAGCACCGATCGGTCTAATCGTGTTAGCCTGTTGTGGGCGAGCCCCAGGTGGCTCAGGTTCCTCAGATTTTCTCCCATGGCTCCGGACAAACCCCACAGGCTTCGTGACGGCACACGATAAGAAAGCAAGATGAAATCCAATGACCAAAATGATTCAAATGCCATCACGGTCCGATCGAGGCAATTAAGACGCCTAACCTGTTGTGTGAAAGGTCAAGGTGTGACAGTGAGTGAATGGGTCCGAACAACCTCTTATCAAGCTCTCTCAGGCTGTTGTGGGCGAGACTGAGATGCTGAAGAGTTCGGAGCCCCAGGAGAGCAGTTGGAGAAACGGATGTTATGGAATTATTTGATAGATCGAGAACGCGAACCAAGGGTATTTCTCGAAAAGCCATCGATCCGAGGCCCCTGATGCGATTGTCTTGGAGATATAATTCTTGGGTGTCTGGATGTAATCGGCGGGGAATGTCGTACAGGCCTCGACCCCGGCAGTCCACAGCTTTGGTGTTTATGTTGCAGCTGCACTCTTTGGGACAGGCACGTGACAGAGAGAGGAGGGAGAGAAGGCAACACACCAGTATCACTGTAGAGACAGAAAGTTGTAATTATAAATTACTTATTTAATATTTTAAAACAGGAACTGCACTCAATAGCACTCAAGAGCACTCTGAGGGCAGTACGCCAGAGTATGCTCCGATTGACATTGCGAAAACAGAAAAAAGACTGATTAGGGTCCATGCATGACATTGGCTGGTCAACTGCAAGATCTCTCCTAGCGGATGATCGAGTCAGCCATGCTTGTGACATGGGCAAATGGAGACCGTCTTGCACCCCATGTGTCTGTCTGTGACCACCCCCCGCCCCCGCCACGCAATACTGACGGGTGTGCTATTAAAATATTTTAAAGATGATAATGATTAAAATGCATTTTATGATTCGATTTCTATAATGATTCAGAGAGATTGTCCCATGCTGCTGTCATAATTATGAATGAAATACCATGACGCCCACCACGCAACTTTGTAGATCACCAAATTTGTCTGCCTGCGCTCCGAATAAAATCGCCTTACAACATCCGCGCCTCAAGTTAGAGCTGCTTTTTGTGAGTCTAAACTGTAGTGTACGTTTTGTAACCAGATTTGTAGATGTGCCGCTGGTTGCAGCAGCAACACTCAGCGAGGCATAGCGTGTCTACTATAATCACAGACACGCTGGACTAGCCCATTGCCCCAGCACGTTTTTATGCCAAGTGCAGACTGCTTTCTGTGACCAAATTATCGGATGAGTCGGGGGTGAGGCATGTTCAGAGAGCCGCAACACAAGCACAAGCACGGTAGACATAGCTTGCACTGGCACAAAAATGAATATACGCCCGTTTCTTTGCCGAGCACATGGGCGTCAGAATACCAAAATAGGGTCCTTGGTCTTAAGTGCAACATAAAATAGTTTGAATAGTTGAACATATTTTGCTTGAAGGAAGCAAAGGTCTGAGTATGATGCATAAGAACGATGCTCACACCCACCTCTCCGACCTGCTTAGACCTGGGCCCTCTGTGACGTCAAAATCGCAAACGACAACTCCTCACCAACTCGCAACCCACGCACAAATCCATACATAGCAGATATTGGGTGTCTGAATCCTTTTGAGTTGACTTCACATGTCCATTCCTCCTGGAACATCACAGCAGTATTTATAGCATTGGCTGGACTAGCTTAAGGCTAAATGAAACGCAGTTCAGGCTATTTACAGATTCTGCACTGATTAGTGGCCTACGCAATGTTTCGCTCTTCACACCCAACAAACTTAAACATTAGAAATCATTAGGAAAGTAAAGTATCCTGTTTTTATCTTTTTTTTTTTAAATCTCAGTTATACCATATTTTCACCATGTCAATCTCATAGTCCTTTCCATAAAGGATTTAAAAGCAGTTCAAGTCAAAACACCAAAAAAAAAACGAAACAAAAATGAGCAGGATCTAATTTGTTCTTGAAAAAAAATTCAAAAGATTGATGGTGTTGTGTTTTTTAATAATTCAAATCAAATTACCAGATCAATAATTCTAAATGGATCTGTAGACATGATTTTTTTTCTTTGTTGACAATTTCTGAAACTCGATCATTTAGAATGAACATATTAATTAATATGTAGTATGACTCTATCCGCAATTGTTCCTTGAAAGAGTGCGCTGACACGTGTGTGCATACATGGAGCCCTTGCATGGCCACACATAAACAGAGCATCAGCTCAGTGAAGCATCGTAGCTCTCGAACGAGGTCAACAATGGAGAATGGCTCCGTGCGCTCATGTGTCCCTTCAGTCCCAAGTGCTTGCACGGAGGCTTGTAATGATGTGCACACGCAGCCCACAGCAAGTGGCTACCACTTTAAGTCAGCCGCACAACAATGCCTTGTCGTTTGAAGCTGAGAGCTGATGCAAAAAAAAAAAAAAAATCCACAACAAACACACATGTATTATTATTTTTGGATCATTTTTTACTCTTCTTATGATTATTATTGTGAAGCTGTTGCTATATTAGACATTCATTTACACAGCAAGATGAGATTAAACAGCCTGTGTGAATGCCTACTTGCAGAATTATTAACCACAATATTTTTGAATTGCTCTCCTACCTGTCATATCTGCCAGGTGTCCTTTGAGCACTTGAGTTCGCCGTCCTTTTTTTTTGTTTGTTTTTATCTCCCCTTTTGGGTTCTTGTGACTGACCCTTGTTCAGGCTCCATTAGCTGTCATTGAAGCTGAGATGAGATGTCCTTATTGTCATTTGGTTGGCCAATACAGTCATTTTGTTTTTTCAAGTTGAAGCTTGGAAACCTATGTTGCTTTCCAAATCATCAACACTGCCTACAAGCATGAAACCCCATCAGAGGGGCCGGATCAGAACACAGAGCTTACTGCCAGTCACACAGCCAGTGTGGGATACTGAAATGCTCTCTCTCTCTCTCTCTCTCTCTCTCTCTCTCTCCTTCTCTCTCTCGCACGTCTTTGCTTCTTGCTCTCTCCCTTGCAGCTTATTTCTCTCTGACTCGTTTCTTTCCCATCACCATTTTTTTGTGCTTCAATATCTTTCTCTCTTCCTTTACCCTGCCTTCCTTACTCCCCCTGTCCATAGTTATATCAGTAAAGTGTCATCTCCCGGCGGACAGCTGTGCCCCTTAAATCTTGGGGTCCGAATGCACTATGACATTCACCACCGCTCCTATTTCTATGGCAAAAGCTTAAAGCTGAATTTGGAGTGTAATAGTGAAATAATTAAATGTGCAAAAACACCCTTGGCACAGTGTGGTGGCATGCTCTAATGCTAATACGCATGACACAAGGGCAGAGGCGATGGCAGAGCAAGCTCCCAGCACAGTAAAAAAAAAAGGAAAGGGAAAAAAAATCAAAACGCACCAATGCACACACATAGACAGAGCACAATTTTAATCTGTTGCTGTAAATCTACATTGAATTCTTTTGGATAAGCTCTCTTGAGCTCTTGGGTCAATGGAAAGAGAAGCAACAATGGACAATGGGTGAGGCAGATTAGTAATGGAATTTTATTTTTAATGGTTCTTAGTATATTTAAGCTCTCAACGTGATCTTGGATCATGTCCTCTGTGCTGATTCCCTCCGTCTGTATTCCCATCCTATCGATAGCTGAATAATTTTTCTTCTCCCTGACGTATAAAACGGTAATTTATGTCACACGCTTATATGCATTACATTGGCAATTCAATTTTATTAGATGACCCAGCTCAACATCAGGGCTCAATTACATTACACATGATAATACTTTAAAAGACAATAGATCAGTACGCGTGCACGCACACACACACACACACACACGCACACACACACACACACACACACACACACACACACACACACACACACACACACACACACACACCATGACAAGTATTAGATAGCACGGATTTGTGGATATTGTCCTGTCATCCAGTTCACGGTGTACTGTACATGGCCTGTCTCCATTCTAAAATGTCCCCAGGAACCACAAGTAGGTTTGTCAGAATCAGAATCGGCTTATTGACCAAATATTTTGACAGACAGAAGAAAAGACTTTCTGGTTGTTTAGTGTCACTCTCATGCGACGCGGCAGGAATGATCTGAGGTCTTCGACCACAGTCCAGGTATGTTTCTATACTGTTAAGAGAATGTATTGCATATGAATACTAAGATGCCGACATTGAGACAAAAATGAATCATGAAAATGGAAAGAGAGATTTGTCATGAATGCAAATCCCCTTATCATAACAATGATGTGGCTGCGAGCATCAGAAAACTGAACTAATCGAATTGCCATATGCATGTACTCTGCTTAAATCGCATGGAATCAACATAAGATCCCTAACTGTTCAAGAAAGTCTAATCAAATTGAGCTGGGTCATCAAAACTTGCTCTGGTTTTTTGCTAACAGCCATGATAATCATGGAGCTGAAAGAATACTCATCGTTTCAAACGTTAAACGAGCAGGCTGCAGCCTGATTATACTGCCCCAATGTCGCCTCAACTGCTTTAATAACTATTTGTATGTCAATTGGGCTTGCGTCTAATTACACCATGACACAATTCACGCACATTTGCCTTGGCTATATCTGGAATATAGGCAGCATTAAGTCACCCATTCACTCAAATGTCTTTAGGTTTGGCAGTTCTTAGTAGAATTCCAATTAACTGGAGGCATTAAGCTGGTTGTCATCTCTCCCTGCCTGGGACTGAGGCAATGGGTGGATTTGGAGTGCATTTTATGACTCTTCATCTTTGGATTCATAAGCCCAGCTCAGAGCATAATACTGGCCACCCCGCACATGTGTAAATCATACCCGGGGACATTTAATTTTTTCCAATAGCGCAGAAACCTTACCATGACAGATTTAGGCCCTTTTTTGTCTTTTTACACCACAGCTCGAGGTAGAAGATCCTTTGACCGTTTCTTTTTACCTGTAATGCACTTTGACAGATTCACATTCATTCTGCATGAGAACTGGATGGTTCCCACCCTTGTTATTTTTATTCCTCACAGTCACTATTTCTGTGTTCTGCTTTTTCAGGGAATAAAAATCATATTGTATCTGCTTTGGCATCATGTGCTAGGCTGTCTTTCCATTGCCCAGCGTCTTAAATTAGCTTTTCCTCTTGGGTTTTCCAAGTGGGTGTAGAAATGGTGGGCTGCTGAAGGGATCTGGCAAAGCTTATGATGAGATAATCTGCACCTGTTCCTTTGGGCGACAGCTAAAACAGGCCACAGCAGCATACCACTGCCCTCAACAATTGCGCAAGCATACACAAATACAAAACTATAATTCCTTCTTTGATCAAATTAAGTGTTTTAGTGGCTGAAAGTTTGCTACAGTGTGGCTTTTTATAGTCAAAGTTCGATACCGTTGTGGAATGGCTTCCCGTCCAGAGTGTACATCGCCTCTCGCCCAAAGTCAGCTGTGATCGGATCGGTGATCCGAATGAGAGTAAACAAACAAACAAAAAAAAGATATCCAGTATGCCAAACATACCTTGGTAGGAGTTGAACACTGTCAATTTAAAAGTGGAACATGTTTTCAGGTCTAGACATCCTATGTGGATCATGCTTATCCTGTTCAAAGTCGCGGAGGGAAAGTTGTCTATCCCGAGTTGAAGTGAAAGCCAGACTACACCCTTGGCCTGCTCACCACTCAATAATTGTGCACCTATAAAGATATTTTCATTGAGATTTCAATTTTGGCTTCAGTCAAGCTTAAAAACATGATAATCAAAGAAAAAAGATTCATGTGTCGGAAGGCTGTGCAAGTTCTTGACATTGTGAAAGTACCCTGAATGCACCAAGGTATGAGCGAATCAATCGTGGGACATGTATGTTATTCTGCCCACGCTGAGCATGCTTCAAGCCGTTTAATAACACCCGTGTCGAAGTTAACTGTGAAATCAAACTCACGACAAAAAGAACTATACACATTGTGTATTTAAATACAAGCCATGCTTGGTTTTTGAAACATCACCATTGCTAATGCTAAACTCAATGTAAAATCCTTTAAACAAGCTAATGGGAAATTAGCATCAACCTCTGGCACTGGTATTCCTTCAAATAGCCAATATTCACACTCAAACGCTGTAGAAACACATCCTGTACATACCTGGGAGTGTAAACAAATTCAAAGTCACATATCCTATGAAAAACAAGTTATATTAATAGAGCTGAATTGAAACTTTTGTCTTTTATTTTTTTTTATCTCATTGTAAGATTGTACTCCATTCATGCTTGGCAACACACTGCCTCTAAGAGGCCAACAACTGCACTTAAGGAACAGCCGGTATTTAATTTGTATTTTATTCATTGCTTTCATTGCTGTTATTAGTTGACTTTGTTACTAATTTAATTTCTAGTAGTAAGTTTAGATATCAAGGATCCATGGATATATATATTTTTTTGTCGCATCAACACACATTTCCACATGATGTACAAAATATGATACCCGAGGTCCCAAGTTAGTCCAGTAAGTCTGAACACTTGTGAAAATAACAATAGGACTAGTAAATTAAAATAAATGCAGTAAAGAGATAAGGGATATGCTTGTTCACGGTTTGAATGCTTGCGATGATGCAATGTAGCAAAGTTGTGAGTGCAGTGGAATGAAAATGCAAGCGGCTTGAAATTCGCATGATATTAGGTCGAAGAGTAGAGGGTTCGAGAATAGACCAACAACAATTCTGAGCGGGAACTGAACCCATGCTGGCTGAACAAGAGTCGGCCAATGAATCTTTGCACCATCAGTCACAATTTTTAGCAGTGCCATTTTGAAATGCAGTCTTCTCAATACGAATCCCGAGCATCAATTTGCATGATCTATCTGTCTTTCAATCAAAATTATTGTATTTAGTGACACTCTACATTTTTGCTCTCTTGGGGTGTGACACCATTCATTTTAAAATGTACCCATTCGGTTTGGCTGTAATTCAAACAAATTTTCCAATTCAAACCTGTGTTCATTGCGCTCCAAGCGAATATGAGCGTGGTTTTCTTCTTTTGGTTCCAGCCTAGATTGGAACCGTAGATGTGAGATGAGCTCCTCTGTGGAAGTCTGTTAGAAAATCAGAGCGAGGAGTCAGCCATAGGGAAGGGGAAGGGGTGCGCTGGGAGTTATGGCCTGGTGTTAAAGTTTGCTTTGTGGCCATCAAACGCATATGCATTTTTGAAGTACCACATCTATGGATGTGTGGACCAATATTCTATTAAGTGGCTTGAATTCATCTTTGAATTTATCATTCATGTTAATTCTAAGCAATGGCTTTTCTGATGTCACATCTTCCTGGCGATGTTTTTTTTTTTTTTTCTTTCCAGCTGTCGGCATCCAAATGAAACTCGACTTCTTTCAGAGGAAATTCTGGACAGCTAGCAGACAGGTACACAATGACAAAGACATATCATATACACATGAATGAGGTATGGATATAGAAAAAAAATCTGCCATAAATATTACCATGGGAACCTTATTTTGAAGTTCGGAGTGCAATTTGATACAAAGGTATTTTCGAGACGGTGGTATGGGTACACAATACTAATGTGGGGGGGACTAGTTTGGGTACACGAAGTAGAACATAGGATTCTCTTGTTATACTTCAAGCAATGGTTTTGAATGTTTACTAAATGTGTTTTTCATTTCACTTAAAAGACTTATTTTCAAAGGGTCGTAAATCGGTTCATGAAATGCAATCATTTTAAAGCATGACTTTACTAGATAATAAATGTTAGCACCTGGTGAGTGGATTTGTGTTTGTTGCCTTCCCCTAATATTGCATTGCACAAACTTTTATTTCCTCCTCTCTCTCTCTCTCTCTCTCTCTCTCTCTCTCTCTCTCTCTCTCTCTCT